ATTTAATTTCCTTAAATGCTTGGTCCTGTTCTACACCCCATTGCCAAACTACATTCTTTTTTAGTAATTTAGTTAACGGTCTAATAACTTGCGCAAAACCTTTAATAAATCTCCTAAAAAAACTGGCTAGACCTACTATCTGTCTTACATTATGAACATCTTTTGGGGTGGGAAAATTATTGACGGCTTCTACCTTACGCAATCCGGGTTTTATACCAGCACCAGAGACTTCAAAGCCCAAATAATCAACTTCTTTCTTAAAAAAGGAACATTTTTGTGGTTTCAAAGTTAAACCCGATTGATGTAAATTTTCAAATATAGTTTGGGAGTCTTTCTAAACCTTGCTCAAAAGAATTTGATGGCACTAAAATGTCATCCATATATGCTAAAGCTGAGTCAAATCGTGCATTTCCTAACACCATATTAATTGTTTTCTGAAAAAACAGCAGGAGCATTTGCTAATAGCCTGATGATAAATCTAGCGTGCTGAAGTATACATTACCAGCTAACCTATCTGTTTTGTTATTTAGAGCACGATAATCAATACATAAACGTTTATCACCAGTTTTCTTTTTGATTAATAAGATTGGGGACGCATATGGCGAAGATGATTCTCTTATTTTATTTTGCAGTAGCTCATCTATCATGGACCCAACTTCTGCTCGTTCTGAATGACTAAGACGATAAGGACGATATACAACAGGGCTGGAATCTTTGAGTTCTATTTCCATGGATGTAACATTAGTGCAACCAATTCTGTTAGATTTTTGGCAAAGCAATCTCTGTATTGATTTACTAATGCTAACAAACGATGTTTCCCTTTGTGACTAAGATTATTACTCACATGCAAATCATCTTGCGTAAGATAATCGTTTACGTGACATATATTATTAATAATAATAATAATTTAATTTTTTAAGTAATAACAGTTTATTTTTTAATTATTTAATAATAATTAATTTTTCTTTATTACTTTATAATAATATATATATTTTTTTAAATTATTTTATAATTTATTTATTAATATTTAAAAATTTAGTTTCCACCCACAAAATACCCCTGGTCAATTTTTCATCAGCCTGGAATTCTAAGAAAAGTTTTCTTGAATTTTCTATATGTATATAACCTACTCCATCTTTAACAGAAATTATTCCACCTACTAATTTATATTTTTGCCTGAAACTATCCTCAATATAGATATGCCCAGTAAAATCACTGCCAACTTTAATTTTTATCATAGCATCCACATATATTCTTACATTTGTGTATATTTTAAGAGTGTAACATTCCCTTATTGGAGATTTCAATTTTATTATTAAATTTTTACTGTCCTTGAGAATCTCAATGTGAGGTTGTTCTGTCACAGTCTGGCCAATCAGGACATCGTAGTTAAGAAAACAGTCAGGTACTATTATTATCTCTACTTTGACTTTCACTAGGTCTATTGAAAGGTTTACTGAACATGTACCTATAGATTGAATAACCGAATTACCAAAACCTCTTAAAGATGGCAGGTTTTCAAAATTCCAATGATCGAGAGTAAGAATGTCCCTATCTACTGATTCCTTAATTAGTGTGCCTTGACTACTAAAATCTACATATGCATCTAACTTTGAATCCTGTATATAAACCTTTTTTTTTAAATTTATTATCTAATGATTCACCTGCATTAACTAGTCATAATGATTTAATTTCTGGTTTAACTTTCAAAATTTCTCTATGCAGTTAGGGTCATCATGACCTACTCTTAAACATTTTTGACATTTAAGTACAGGTTTTTTACAATTATGAAATATATGTCCAACGTCTTGGCAATTAAAACATTTGATCTGGCTACCATGATCAATCTTTAATGATTTACGATTTGAATCAACATTTAATCTACTAAACTTTTTATTGTTCTCAAATTTCTCACGCTTTATACTTCGTAAATAACCTAATAACTTATCAGCATCTTGAAAACCGACAGCCTCAGCACCATATTGAACAGTCCTATCCTCTATACCAAAAACAATACAGTCAATTGCATTTTTTTTTCACTAATACTACAACGATTTAAAGCTATTATTTTCTCATAGTAATATTCCTCTAAATCATCCCCAAACTTAGCTCTAATATTAATCATTTCAGTAATTAAACGTCCATAATTTTCATATGTTGGAAAAGCAGTTTTAAGTTTATCTTGCCAAACTTCCCATGTATTTATAACTGATGGTTGACCTTCATACCATCATTTAGCAGTACCCATGAGTTTGGCATAGCGTAACAAGCAGTCTGTTGACTATCCCAACTATATATCATTGCACACTCATTAACTTTATTTAACCATGTAGTAATAGTTTGATTCTTTAATTTCGGATCAAACTCAGGTATTACATTAATAATTGAAAATTTATCTTTGTTTGAAGGATTAATGGTGGAAACAGCTTGCAGAACCTGACTAATACTATCCATTAACTTTTTATTAGAATCAACCTCATTGTTAGTTTTAGTTATAATTGCTACTGGCTTGGAGTTAGAATGTAAGTTATCATTACCCGAGATAGAGGTTGATCGGTGAGGATATGTATCTTCATTATTTTTGTCATTTTCATAATTTATACAATCGTTTTGTTGAGTATAACTATTGTTATTAATTGAACAAGCAGAATCGATTTTATGGTTTACTGATTTACATGTATTACACACCAACTTATGGCTAGGTAGTTCACAATGTCTAGTTCGTGAGCGTAATGCAGATGTATTATTATTATACTTATTAGCACGTATGCTATGTGATACCAACGTGTCTGACCTTGACAGTGAACGAGACCTGCTTTCACGCCCTGACGATCGGGCATGACGTCTTCTCCTGCTCCGTGATCGCATGCGCTGGCTTCGCGAGTACCGTGCTCGTAGACTCGTAGCGGATCGCGATTGGCGCCTTAACTTGGATCGCGACTGGCGCCTAGAGCTAGATCGCGACTGGCGCCTAGCGCTGGATCGCGACTGGCGCCTAGAGCTGGATCGCGACCGCCTTCTTTTAACTTCACCAGCTCGACGTCTGTTGGTAGAGAGTGACTGCCGCCTTTCAGGCGTACACGTATTTCGGTTCCGTGATCGTCTGTCACTTGGCATTGTATTATACAATGAACAGTGATACTTGTACTGTAAAACATGTACATATTAATTAATCATCATCATATTATCTATTACTCTTTACAACTTCTGTAAAATTATTATGTTAAAAACAACACAAATGTGACATTGGTAATATAATAATGTACCTAGTCTATAGAATAGAAATTTTGTTTACATTATTCCTATACAAGTCCACCTACGCCAAAAGTTAAGCAATAATTATTTTACACTCATTAGTTATGTATTTTCACTTTCCTCTACCATCTAAGAAAAATAACAAGGCTGATATGACTTGTTAAATTTATATGCTAAGAGGTGGCCATTAAACTCACTGAATACAAACGATTAATTAATTGCATATTAGCGAGTTTGTTTCGTTTAATGAAGTTAACTCTCTTTATGAAATTGCTAATGAAAACAAATTTGTATACTTTTTACATAAGTTTTCTTTTTTTTTTCGTTAACAGTAAGAGTTGATAAGTAAGATTAAACACTCACCTGCAAGTCTTTTTTATTTACCAATACCTGAATACAAAGCGCGTGTCGATCCCACTTCTGAAGTTTATAAGATTTCTCACTAATAAAACGCCTTTCTATAACTTTTGCCGTTTATTAATTTGTAATTAGATTGTACAGTAGTTATTTTGTGGTCTTGATCTCTATATAAATGTATTCAACCTCTATTAGTTTTCGTTTTACTCTTTCTGAAAATCTTCACTGAACTTGCGAAAGAAAGCAACGAGCGCCATTGCCATAGAATAATAGTACTCCTCTAATTTCCCGTAAAAAAACAAGGGTGCCATGACACAAAAATAACACTTAAGAGATAAAAGTGAAACGGAAACTAATTGATATTGTTAATCATAAATGCTTACGATACTTAAAATTTTATGAGATTAATTAATATTTTAATAGATTTTGTTTTATAATAGTATTTATATTTATATTCTTCAATGAACAACTTAGAATCACAGAGTGAATTGATAATAGAACTCGTATCTTATTATTATAACTTAAGACATAATTACTATTATTTCTTTCCAAAAATAACGTTTAATGATTATTTAATTATACATGCAGGTTCAACATGGAAAATCATTAATTAACAACATTATAATATTAAACAATGTTATTGGTATTTTATGCATAGACAATCAGATATGTTCCTTTTATTTAAATTTCTTGCAAAATAAAATGAACTTAATAAGTAAAAGTCATAATTAGTTTTAATAACCTAACACGTTCCATAAGATAATCATTAACTTTATTCTTTCACTCATACATAAGCGTGTTCTTTATATAAAATTTTAATTTATTTACAGGTAGGTCAATAATATATTTTTTAATTTAACATAGTTTTTTTTAAAGGCTGAAGCTTGGAATTACAAGTTTATTTCATGTGGTAAAAATATGAACACTACTATTATTGTATATGCATCATAAAGTTTTCTTATGTACGTGTAGTATTGCTATGCAACAGAAAAATATTGTTTTCTTTAAATATTTCTCTACGAAATTCTCTACACCGTAAATTTTGCGTGGACAGCTCTCTTTTGTAGAATAAAACAATATTAGTAGCACTTAAACCTGTAGCTTAAACTCACAGGAAAAAAATAAATAAAATATACCAATTTTACCGATTAAAAAAAAATGTTTATTTAGAATTAAACTAATCTGATTAGGTGATTCATAAGATTAGGCGTTTCCTAAAGGCTTTATTCTGGCTTTGTGAAAACGGGTGTAAGCGTTTAAAAATATCATATCAAAGCTACAAATAAAACAAATTGTTGTTATGTAATGAAATTTTATTTCACAGTAACTATTTATAATTTATCATTTTATAATTAAAATTATAATTATTTACATTCTCTAAACTTATATCACGTGGGTAACAGTACAATAAAGCGGTCGTCTGTTACATCTTCGAACATCAGAAAGTGCGTTAGTGTCGCGAACAGAATAACAATTGTTATAAACGGTTTTTCAGTAATAACAGTTAAAACGGTTAATAACGTTATAACAGTAGTCACTGACGCTGAACGAAGGGAGTTTGCTGCTGCGTGTAGCTCGGCCAAGCTCTCTGAAACAAATGAATCAAATTCAAATTGTTTGTTTACTAAATAGTATGAGGGTATTGAAAAGGTTAACATGATGTGCTAATGTTCTGCTAATTATCGAATTAGCATTCAATTTAAATATTAAGAAAAATCAAAAACAAAATTAATTTTTTAGTCTAGGCTGTTGTAGTGTCACAAGCACTTGTGAAAGTCGAGAGCTATGCCATCGGTTCGTAAATCTACGGCGGGAGACCTTGTACCGAGAAGAACCGGCAAGAAACTCGGCAAGGGCTGCTTTTTTCTCCCTATTTTATTTCATAGAGCGTCAAGATTGAAAAATGACTTCATTATAATTTGAAGTTACTTTCCATTACAATGTTACACAATATATAAGTTAATCAGTATTTCCATCAATCCAATCACATGCGTAGCCAAAGAAGCTCACCGATAAACAATTTAATATATATGTAAATGAGCCATATTTAACACCAAGCAGTTTTGTCGTTTAAATATCCATTAACAGTATAATATCCCTTACTGAGTAGACAATTTTTAATATGGGTTTTAAACATAGGTAATGGTAAATTTAAAATTTCCATAAGAATTTTGTTATAGTAGTGTACAACTTGACCCATAAATGACGATAGAACCTTCTTTAGCCTACATGACGGCAAAACAAGTTTATCTTTGTTTCTCGTATTAAAATTGTGTACATGACTATGTTTAATACAATAATCTAAACACTAATATGCGAAGTATCTTTATGTTATATGTAATCAAATATCAGTATAAATGAATCAATACCGATAATGTCGTTCTAACAATTTATTAATTTATGTAAAACACAATCTTCATGAAAATGTTTTTTCTTGTGGAACTATTTCAAATTAACTACATTTTTTTTATGTAAATTTTTATTTAAAATTCAAATGGATTCAAAAAAAATAATTCAATTTTAAACATTTAATTTTGTAAATTTAAACAGTAAACATTTGAAGCCTTTAATTTCATAACTGTAAACATATGTAATCTCATTTTTAACTGTAATTGTAGGCCTATTTTCTGTAGAGTCTTATATTAATTATATTATTATTAAGGCTTTGATATTAGCTCCGTTTTCAACAACTCTTTACCTTCTTTTGTTACTCAAAAGAAATTTCTTCTGACGTCCAATTTCGATGGATAAAAGGAAAAGAAATTCAAGTTACAAATGACATTATGACATTATCACCAAAAAATTCTTCAACCGTGAGTTAAAACTTGGCAAGCTACCAAGTTTTAACTCACGGTTGAAGAATTTTTTGGTTAGGTGCATAAAATAATTATTTTTCTACACTAATTCTTATCTATGTTCATTTACAAACTCACAGTAATTGAATTGTATTTCTAGTTATTAAAATAAGTATTCTATATAAGTAAATAGCCGCGGGAGAAAATAAGACCATTTGATTTGACGGAATTAGAAGCTGAGTGGGTAATATAAAGAATAAGATAATTTTCAGTACCAAATCTACACTAACATTATAAAGAGGTAGAATTTTTAATATTGTTTGTTTTTTGCCTTTGAAAATACTGGTCAGAAAATAAAAAAAATCTTTCACTTTGCCATAATTTATTCAGACAAAATCGCGGTAAAATCTTACTTACCTCAGTAAATTACATTTACTCTGTTACTCAAGATATTATATTTACTATTCTAATAACAGCATGATTTCGAAATCAGTTCTATTGGGTCTAATTAATTGCTTTCTAAATGAATAACTAAAGGTTGTCTTTGATCTTAGGGGTTTCGTACACTGAGTATAATAACATGGAAAAAATAACGTAGTAGTTTTGTTTATTAGTGACCTGTTCATAATATATATTAAAAAAAAATGTAACGAAACGCAGCGGCTCAGCACGTCTCAGAAGACGTCGTGAAACTCAGCTCCGAAAAAGACCACGCAATTGATTAAATTTCAGCGATTTTAGCCAGACGTCTTGAGTCGCCGCGTCGTGTTACACTGTGCGATCTGAGCATTTTTTTTTTATATTAAGCAAAAGTTTATCACAAATTTTTTGAAACTCTATTTTGCTATTTTGAAACTCTTGTAACTTATTTCCCCATTCTACATACTTGACCTCCGCATTTGGTACTGAAAGGTGTATAGTACTTAATAGCACATGACTTTTAATCCTATTAATCCATTCTATTCTACTAATACTTAAACATATATTATACACCAAAATATTCAATTGAAATGGAATTAGAAAATAAAGCCGTATTTTTTTTCAGACGCTTTGTCGTGTTTAGACAACACTGACTTCACTAAACGAAAACAAAGGAAATGAAGCGTGTAATTGCTTATTTTATCATTAGAGTTCTTTTGTTCTCCAATTTTCTTTCTTTTAAATGTTAAATGCGTCTGTGATATTAAAATTTATGGTTTCTTATAATATTGAAGACAAAATAAAACTTTAGTCACACAATTATTTCATTAATTCAATTTACACATTATTAATTACTAGCTATTTCTTTTTATTCGATTCAATGTGACTATGATGGAGCTTTCCGTAGGTAAAAGATTTTTTAAAATCAATCTAGTAGTTACAAAACCGATAAAGACTGTGTGTGACTGTGGAATTATTGATAGTTTATTTATTCTTATTTGTCTATAAAATAGAAAATGTTGGACTTAATGCCAAAAAGGCTTTCTCTGACAGTCAAATTGACGAAATTGTACAGATAATTCAAAATAATATTTGGTAAGTGGCACAATTTTATCAGACAAGTTCAAGGAAAAATATGGAAATTCTACATTTGCAATTAAATCTTGAAAAGTATTTGGGTCAAAATTTATTATAGAAACTACTTTATAGAAACTACTAAACCAACTAAAGAATCATATGAAAAGTCTTTTTGTTTTAATTTTATATTACTAAGGAACCCCCAGGACCGAGTCTGACTCTGTCTGGCCGTTATTTAATTAAGATAACCCTCACCGTTTAGCACATGCACAGATACTGTGTGTGATCTGGCCCCCCTGACTGCACAGGTGTAGTTTCCTGCATCGCTGCTGTTCACCCTGGCCAGCCTTAGGAGGCTATCAGCACCACCAGGCACCTGTTCCGTCTTCACACTGCAGCAAAATGTAAACATTTAAAAATAATAACACAAGGCAATTTACGCTAAATAATTTTTGACTGAATTTATAAAGTTACGATTGTCTAAGTATAGAACTCTTGTCTCCTTTCTAGCAAGGAAAAACAAAGGGAAAAGCACCAGAAGTGTTACAGAATATGATATCAGTATGGCATATCAATACAGCCAGTACTTAAAGTTTTTCTATTCAAATTTTATTCATTAAATGGAGATAAAACTGCGAAAGGAGAAAAAAAAAAATCAGCGCTTAGAAAGTACCTCGGGGGTGCTAGCCATAATTATACTTTCACATCAATCTCAGAACCTTTTACATTTCACGAAAAGCTGTGATGCTTAAAATTCTGAGATAACGGTACCCTGATATATGATAATGTTGACGTCATACCCAGACTGGACTAAAGCTACAAATAAGCTATCTGAATACATTATACTTATAACATTTAATGAAATGGTATATTATTTTTGATAATCTCGTTAAAAAACTGCTATTTGTTACAGAGTTTTTTGCTATTCTTATTAAACGTTAGAGATGAGCATCCGAGTAAGAGAGTTGAATGGTATTCAGCCGAAAATCAGCGTCGGTCTGTTTTTAATTTTAAGCAAAAGTAAGAAATCGCCGTATCCGCGGCTCCCAAGAACAAAATGTTGAAATGTCAGAATACGGTTGTTATACTGCTAATAATTTTAAGAGTTAAATATAAAGAGTTTTAAAAGTTTAAGGACTATTTATAAACGGTTCTTATGACTTATTGTAAACTAATAAATTCAGCTTGTGTTTTTCGTTATACTGCAGCACGTAAGTTTAAATACGCCTTTGTTTTATGAAAACCTTATCAACTTAGGTGTATATACAATGCTGTTCTTCGTATTTTTCTAAAAATATATTAAACGTGTGTTGCTTTTTGCATCTCTCAATACAGCTGTGATTAAATAAATAAAATCGGCCAAGGACGAGTGTGATGTATGTGGGTACACATTATTCAAGTACCCACATGATTCTACATTATGAGATTTTGTGCAGCCAATAGCAGTAATAAACCAGTTTCGATCTAGTACTGTCGTATTTTATTTATTAGCAAACACATCATTTGGCGACGAGTTTTTTCGGTCTCACGTAAAGCAAAATGTCGGTTACAATTGGAAGTTTGTCTGTTTTCGACCATACTATTCATCGGTGGGAAATATACTACAGTCGTTTAAATCAATATTTAAAATTGAATGCGAGCATTAAAAGTGAAAGTAAATGTGCATTGCTGTTAACGCACTTATCGGATCAGACATATCAATTGGCGAGTAATTTACTGCATCCAAAGTCACTTGATAGCGTTACGTATGACGAGCTGGTTACTACTCTCAACAATCACTTTAAACCCAAGAGGTGTACGTATGCTGATCGGGAATTATTCTACGAAGCGCGGCGTGCACAAGGTGAAAGTATAGAAGACTGGGCTGCGAGATTAAGGGGACTCGTAATTCATTGTGAGTTTGGGTCGGCGCTCGAACAATTGCTGACAGATAAGTTTGTGCTGGGACTAGGCGCAAGTCCAGAACGTGATCGGCTTTTCGAACAAAATGCAATCGAGTTAAATTTTTCAAGGGCAGTCGAGGTGGCAAGGCAAGTTGCGTGCGCTCGGCAAATGCGGCAACAGGACGTCGTTAAACAGGAGCCTGTCTACAAAATAAGTGGACAATCAACGAATATTTGTAAGACAGGATCATTTGAACTGTCACAAAAGCGGTGTGCGGTATGTGGAATGAAAAATCATAATAAGGATAAGTGCCGATTTAAAGCTTATAATTGTCGGTTGTGCGGTGTAAAAGGTCATTTAATGAAAATGTGCCGAAATAAAAGTGCAATTCACGTAAATAATATTCAATCGGAACAAAATTCTAAATTAACGGAAGAGGACTCGTGCCAGGAATGCGAACTTTTTAATTTAAGGTTTGTAAATTATGATCCAATTAAGATTAAAATTAAATTAAATGAAATAGAATTAGATATGGAACTGGATTCTGGATCAAGTGTGTCCGTAATATCTGAGAAATTGTATTATAAATATTTTTCTTCTATAAATTTAATGGAGGGTAATTTAAGAATGTGTTTGTATAACGGACATAAAATTACGCCTTTTGGTTATTTTGAGGCAAATGTAAAGTACCTTAATATTATGAAGAAGTTGAAAATTTATGTTATCAAAAAGGGTGGTCCGCCACTACTGGGGCGTGATTTTATGTTAAAATTTGAAATGTTTTTTTTCAACCAATTTAAATAAAATTGAATTAGAGAAATCGACAGTTGAGGTGCAGCAATTACTGAATACATATTCTACCTTGTTTAAAGACGAACTTGGCAAGTTTAATAAATTTGAAGTCGAAATTAAATTACGAGAAGGTTCACAACCAAAGTTTTTTAAGGCCCGATCAGTTCCATTTGCACTAAAATCCCGAATAGAGGAAGAAATAGACAGATTAGTCAGTTTAGGTATTTTAGTTCCAGTAAATCATTCAAATTATGCTTCACCAATAGTCCCAGTTCTTAGGCAAAATGGAAATGTGAGAATTGCGGGCGATTTTTCTGTCACTATTAATAAAGATATGTATATTGATAAATACCCACTACCTCGAATTAAGGAAGTATTTAGTAGACTGGGAGGTGGTGAATCATATAGTAAGCTAGATCTCAGTAATGCATATAATCAGTTTATTTTATCGGAGGCGTCACAGGAGCTTACAACCATAAATACTAGTAAGGGATTATTCAAGTTTACTAGATTAGTGTACGGTTTGGCGAACGCACCAGCCATTTTTCAGCGTGCGATGGAATCACTTCTTACTGGAATAGAAGGAGTTTCGTGTTGGATAGATGACATTTGTGTAACGGCTCCTAATAAAAAAATACATTTAAAGAGGTTAAATGAAGTATTTAGTAGGTTAATGGATGCAGGTTTACGTTTACAGAAACAAAAATGCGAATTTTTCAAATCTCATGTTACTTATTTAGGTTATATAATAAGTAAGTCCGGTCTACAAACATGCCCAAAGAAAATAGAAGCCATTTCTAAAGCCCCGAAACCTACAAATGTCACAGAGGTGAAAAGATTTCTAGGTGTTATTAATTATTATCGAAATTTTGTACCCAACGTATCAACTATATTGGAACCGTTACATGAATTACTCAGGTCAGGTGCGCAGTGGCAATGGGAAGAAAGACAAGAAACTGCTTTTAAATTGATTAAACAAGAATTGGCATCTAATAGAATTTTAACACATTTTAATCCAGATGCTCAGCTGATTTTGACAGTAGACGCGAGTCCGCATGGTTTAGGCGCGGTGCTCAGTCAGTGCGATATAAGTAATGGTGAAGAGCGTCCGCTAGCTTTTGCCTCGAGATCTTTGTCATTAAGCGAAAAAAATTATAGTCAAATTCAGCGAGAAGCGACGGCTATTATATTCGGTGTAAAAAGGTTCCATCAATACTTATATGGTCGTCAAAAGCCATTTATTTTGCGTACAGATCACAGGCCATTATTAACTATATTTGGTAATAAAGTAGGTATTTCGGTAATGGCAGCTTCGCGTTTACAAAGATACGCAATAATATTATCTGCTTATAATTATATTATACAATATATTAATAGTGCCAAAAACGTAATGGCGGATTATTTTTCTCGAGCTCCATTAAATTCCAATGACATCGAAGGAACTGATATCGAGTTAGTAGACGAACGAAATTTATTTTTGTTAAGACATGTAGATGAGACAAATTTGCCAGTTTTATATAAGGATATTAAAACTGCTATAAAGGAAGATAAAGTTATTGGCACTGTATTAAAATATTTAAAAATTGGTTGGCCTCGAAATATTAAATGTGCGTTAATTAGACCGTATTTCCATTGTAAAATTGATTTAGAAGAGATTGACGGATGTTTATTTAGAGGTCATAGAATTGTCATTCCAACAAAATATCGAAATCAAATGTTACATGAACTCCATCGAAGTCATTTAGGCATAGTAAAAACAAAAAGTAACGCTCGAGAGCGAATGTGGTGGCCGGGAATCGACCGTGATATCGAACTTTGGATCGGCTCGTGTGAGAAATGCGTGAGCACGCGCAGCGTCCCGCCACAAGCCTCCCCCGCCCCGTGGCCGCGTCCGGATGCCGTTTGGCAACGTATTCATATAGATTACTTAACGGTCGGGCAAAGAGTTTACTTAGTAGTAATAGACGCATTTAGTAAATGGTTAGAATGCATTTTCATGAACTGCGGCACCTCCACACGATGTTTGATTGTAAAACTTAAAGAATTGTTTTCGAGATTTGGTATACCTGTTACAATAGTGTCAGATAATGATGTTAAAATAAATTCATTTGAATTTCACAACTTTTGCAAAATGAATGGTATTCATTATATTACGTCACCTATTTATCACCCTGCTAGTAATGGACAAGCTGAGAACTCTGTAAAAACGTGCAAAAAAATGTTAAAATGTATATTAGCTGAAGGTACAGCGATAAATATTGTAGATGAAAAATTATATGATTTTTTGTTTCTCTATAGAAATTCAGCACATTGTTCAAATGGTATTGCACCAGCAAAACTTATGTTGGGTCGTAGTTTACGATCTAGATTAGATTTGGTGTTACCGAGTAAAGTTTCAGACAAATTAAATAATGTCAATTCAAAGGATATGAATACAGAAGTAATTAGACATTTTTGTACCGGTGATTATGTTTGGTTAAGATGGTATACAAATAGAAAACAGGGTTGGCAATTAGGTATTGTTAAACAAAAATTAGGAAAGAGAATGTATAAGGTTTATGTAATTGAAAATGAGGTAATATGTAGACGACACATTGACCAATTGATAAAATATACTGGTGAAACAAATTGTGTTTACATGGGAGGATCCGGCGACGCTCACGCGGCTGAACTATCACCCCAGACGTCGCCGCAGCCGCCTGCTGCCCTAGAGGGG